GGCCGACACTGGCACCGTTGGCCCTCGAGTGCCTCGGCGGCCGGCAAGGGGGTCGCGCGCGCAGACCTGCAGCTCCTCGACCTCAGTGTCTTCGCTCGCTGACTTGGCTGAAGGAACGTCGGCTTCTCTCTCTCTTTTGCGTTTGTGCTTTCGTCGTATTCGCATCGAGCGCACTGTTGTCTCTTCTTTTTCTTGACATATACATAGAGGAACTCCTAGAACGAGGAAATATAAGAAAGTTTAGAAATGATTTGAAGTGACAGAGCAATCAGAAAGAGACATTTCGGAGGGACCTATAGTGGAAAGGAGTGATACTGACCAACCGACGAATTAAAAAAAAGGAAAAAAAAGTCACCAAAGAACAAGAGACTAATGCAAGATGGCGACATTTCCTGAGAAAAGGACCAGACCTTCGACACAACGCCAGTCCTGGTTTATAGGCCTAGCTGTCGTGGTCTTCGTCAGCCTACCAAGAACGACCGACGCACAGGGACTGCAAGACTATCTGAAGCTCCAGGCCACCGTCAGCAGTCACACGCAGTCGCTTCTGATTCTGCGCGAATATCAGACGCTAACCGACAAGATATGGAAATGGTACCTTGATATTCAGAAGTAAGTTGAATGCTCTTATTTCCACACGTCAGGCACCTTTCCTTAAGAACCGTTTCTATTGCAACGAATGTAAAAAAAAAAAAAAAAAAAAAAAAAAAAAAAGAGATACTATTGAGAATGAATACATTTGTATTGTGAAGACATTCATGCTCATTCACACTTTTTCCACACTCACACACGCCCACATAGGCACACACAAAAATATAATCACAAACATAAATACACATAAAGATACACGTTTTTCGATATAGACATTTAGCGTACGAACGTTTTTGTCTGCCATAAATTTATTTGTCTTCTTTTAAATAAGACGCGTCAACTTCTCTCGTATACAATCTTTATTCATGAGATTTTCATGAAAAAATATGAGTATAATGCGGTTAATATCAATATTATCACTATCATTAATAGCTCTAGCCTGAATTTTAATGAGAATGATAATAATAATACTGTAGATGATAACGATGATAATGACAATGATAAAAGTAATGGTGATGATAACAATGATAATGATAATAATAGTAATAATGATTATACTCACAGCAGCAATTGTAATAACAATATTGATAATAACAGTAATGATAAAGATATTGATAATGACAATAATAATGAGGATGAATATGATGATAAGAATGATAAAAGTAATGATACCAATAGTAATATTAATATTAGTAATAATCATAATAATAATTGTGATAATAATGATAATGATATTGATGATAATAATCATGATAACAATAATGATGATCACAATATTGATGGCAACAATAATACTACTAATGATGAAAACTATAATAACTAAAAACAATTAACATATCAATAATAATGATGAGAATAAAAAGGATAACATTAACAACAATAATGATAACGATGAAAGTACAGGATTCGCGCCAAAAACAGTGATCATATTCATGCTTGTACAAAGAATGATAATGAAGGTGATATTGACAATGATAACAACGATGATGATATTAGTAACAACGATAACAATAACTTTACTAATGATAAAAATGATGGATGTAACAATAAAAACGACAATAATGATAATGGTAATGATAATAACAATAATAATATTGATAACAATAATGATTATTTTGATACTGATAATATTGATAGTGGTAATGTTAATAATAACAATAACGATAAAGTGATAATCATGTTAATGATAACGATGATAAGAATATAGATAATAATCATGACAATGATCGATATAATAATGATAATAATAAAAATGATGGTGATAATGACATTGAATATATGATAATGATAACAATAACAATAATGATTATTAGTATCATCATTATTATCATTATTTTTAGATTGAAAATAGTAATAATGATAATGGCAGTAATAATAATGATGATAATAAAACAAATGATAATAATGATAAACAAAAAGAGTAACAACAATACTGATGATAATGATACTAACAGTAATGATGATGATAACTATATTAATAGAATAATGTTAATAGTATTAGTGATAATAAGAATGATAATAGTAAAGGTGATAATATTAATGATAATAATAATAGTGATAACAATGATAGTAATGATAATAATGATGATAATAAAATAGTAATAATGATAACAATAATAATAATAACAACAACAATAATAATAATAGTAACTATGATAATGATAATAATAATAATAATAATAATAATAATAATGATAATAATAATAATAATAATAATAATAATAATAATAATAATAATAATAATAATAATAATAATAATAATAATAATAATAATAATAATGATAATTAAAATAATGATGATGCTAATGATGATAATGATAATAGCAATGAAATATTAATGATGGTGATGATGATAATGATAAGAATAATGATAATGATAACAATGATGATAATGATAATGATGATAATAACAATGATAATATAATGATAATGATAATAATGATAATGACAACAATAATGATAATGATGATAATAATAATGATGATAATGATAATGATGATAATGATAATAACAATACTGATGATGATAATAATGATAATGCTAATAATAATGATGATGATAAAAGTAATGATGATGATGATATTATGAATTATTGTCATTTTTGCAATTTATTGATCTTATTATCATATTTGCTATTTCTATTTCTATTATCATCATTATTATTATTCTCATTTTTATCATTATTCTCATTATCATCATAATTGTTATTATCATTATTATCTTTGTTATTGTTATCATAATTATTATTCTCATTAATATTATTATCATTATTATTATAATTTCTATCATTACCATTATTTTTAGGATTATCATTATTAGCATTGTTATTCTAATTATCATTCCCATAATTATTATTATCATTATCATTGTTAATGTTATTATTTTTATTACTATTATATTACAATTAATATTATCATTATCATCATCATTATCCATATCATTATTACCATGATTATTCTTTTACTTATTATCATTGTTATCATTGAAACATCAATTTCATAATCATCTTTATTATCATTATCATTTATATTTTTATCCTTTTTATTATCATTATTGCTATTATCATTATTATTATTATTATCATTATTACTCTTATTATTATCAGTATCATTATTATTATCAATATCATCTTTACTATTATTGTTATTATTATTGTTGTTATTATTATTATTATTATTATTATTATTATTATTATTATTATTATTATTATATTATATTATTATTATTATTATTATTATTATTATTATTATTATTATTATTATTATTATTATTATTATTATTATCATTATCATTATCATTATTATTACTATTATCATTGTGACAATTATTACCATTACTAAGTTTGTTACTACTACTATTATTATCATCATTATGATTATCATCATTACTTTTATCAATATCTTTATTATCATTATCATGATCATTATTATTGTTTTCATTATTGCTACTATTATCATTATTGCTACTATTATCATTATCATTATTGTTATTGTTATCATTATTATTGTTACTATCATTATCATTGTTATTACTGTTGTTACAATTATCATCATCATTATCATAATCATTACTACTCTTATTGTTGTTCTCATTATAATCATTCTCATTCTCATTCCTATTTTCATTATTAGTTATCATTATTATTATTATCATTATTATTATTATTATTATTATCATTATTATTACTATTATTATTATCATTATCATCATCATCATCATTATAATCATAACTATTATTATTATCATTATCATTATCATGCTTATTATTATCATTATCATCATTCTCATGATTACTTTTATCATTACTATCTTTATCAGTATCGTCATTATTGTTATCTTCACCATTGCTATTATTGTCATATCATAATCCTCATTATGATTATTATCGTTATTATTATCATTATCATCCTTATTATCTATAATCATCGTCACTGTTATTATTATCATTATTATTATGATAATCATTATTACCATATTTAATATTATTATCATCATTACTGATGATAATAATATTAAATATGAAGATCAAATCAACCATGATGATGATAAAGATTACAAGGTAATGCTACTAATAATAATGATAATGATAATGATAATACCACTAATAATAATATTGATAATACTTATAATGATAATGATGATGATAATGAAAATAAAAACAACCAAACAATAAAAAATGATGATGATAATGATAAGATAATAATAGTAAAAAGATAAATAGTGATATAAATAGTATATGATGTGATTATCGTAATTACAATAAAATATAATGAAAAAATAATAACAATGATAATGATAATGATAATGATAATGATAATGATAATGATAATGATAATGATAATGATAATGATAATGATAATGATAATAATAATAATAATAATAATAATAATAATAATAATAATAATAATAATAATAATAATAATAATAAATAATAAATAATAATAATAATAATAAATAATAATAATAATAATATAATAATGATAATAATAATAATAATAATAATAATAATAATAACAATAATTATAATAATGAAAATAACATGATAATGATAGAAATAGTAATAATAGCAATGCTACTACTACTTTTACTATTACTAGTAATAATAATGATGATAATAAAAATGATAATGATGATAAGGAAAAGGATGATAATAATAATAATGATAGTAATGATAATGATACCAATGATAATGATAATAATAACAATAATGATAATGATGATAATGATAATAATGATAATGATATCAAGAACAATGATAATGATGACATTAATAATGATAATAGTAAAAGTAACAACAGCAATAAAGATACTATAAGTGCAATGATAAAAACTGTTATAATGACAATACTAATAAAAATAGCAATAACTATCATAATATTAAGAATATAATGATGACATTAATACTGATGGATATAGTAATAAAAAACTATAGTTACATATATAACATTACTTAAAACACCAACGACAACTATATGAAATACTTCCCTTCACTGGCAACAACAACAACAATTAAAAAAATAGAACAACAACTACAATAAAAGCAAAACAAAAACCAAATGAAACGTGGCGTGCAAAACCGTAGAGTTAAACCACTTACTCTTCCCACCTCCCCCTCCCCCCCTTCTCCCCACCGTCCCTAGTGATCTAGGTCGAGGCCATCCCAGCCGTATTTGTCGCCTGTTAAGGCCACTGTCGCTGTCCGTCTCTTAAGGGCTGTCTGCGATCGTCATTTGGTGATCGTTGTCCAGCTCAGAGAAAACACTGTTGACCCGATTGATGGAGCGTGACGTCATCGCCAGTCTCTCTTTCATTGGCGGCGGAGGAGGGTCTCGGTGTCGGGTTCTGTGTCTTTGCCTTGGTTTTCTCACTCACACATATTTGCATATATATGTATATACATACATATATATATATATATATATATATATATATATATATAATATATATATATATATATTATATATATATATATATATATATATATGTATATATATATATATATATATATATATATATATATA